AAAAAAAAAAAAAAAAAAGAGGATTGGCTTGGATGTTAGCTCAGGGCTGATCTTCCTCACACACACACACAAATTTAATTCAGCATAAAGTGTTTCTGTTAGTATTTAAAATAAAAATCTCACTATAATATTGTTTATGTTTATCGCAGGCAGTTTGTGACAGACCTTATAGCAAAACTTTAGCATATAATGCTGAAAATTATGTATTTTCTCAGTGCTGATTGTTTCTTTATGTTTCTTTTTCTTGTAGAGAAAGATGGCAAAGCATTTCATCCGACTTATGAAGAAAAACTGAAGCTTGTGGCACTGCATAAGCAGGTTCTTCTGGGTCCATATAATCCTGACACCTGTCCTGAGGTTGGATTCTTTGATGTGTTGGGGAATGACAGGAGGTAACAGTGTTTTGTTGTATAATGCATTTAATGAGAATAATGTCACAAAATGGTATAAAGTAAATTGATTAAGATGTGAATAGCTGGTTCATTAGCTTAGAATGAGAACTGAAACATTTTTGCTTACAGCTTCTAGAATCTTCAGATGTTTATCTGTTTTTGGCTTGGAGATGTTTATGGCTAAATATTGTGGAAGAAGTTTCCTCATCTGGTTATGAACATAAGACAAGTACAGCTTTATTTGATTCTTCCTAAGTAATATTAAAAGCAGCCATTTAAAATATATAGTAATTGATTTTCTTATTGGGACATATAGAGGGTTGAGACAAAAAAGAATCCATTGCGTATTTTATTTAGTTAAGGCTAAAATGTGATACAAGGAAAGTGAACCTTTGATACTCTTTTGCTAGTATGGAAATTATCAGCAGTGGGGTTAAATTATAGTTTATGACAGGAAGTTTGGATTGTGTGTGGTGTATCTAATTTAGTAAATCAATACATGCTTGTTGAAACTTGAAGTTTTGAGCCTTTTGTTTATAATAGATTCGTTCTTCATTTTAGTTATAATTGAGAATTGTTCATATTTAGGTGTAAATTAAATCAAGTTCTCATCCTGTTAATACGAGGAGGTAACGTTTCTTGTTATTCCTTACAGGAGAGAATGGGCAGCCCTGGGCGGCACGTCTAAAGAGGATGCCATGGTAGAGTTCGTCAAGCTCCTGAATAGGTGTTGCCATCTCTTTTCAACATACGTTGCGTCCCACAAGATAGAGAAGGAGGAGCAAGAAAAAAAAAGGTGAAGTTTGAGGGCACAGAGTACTCTATCCTCGTGCAGCCCCGTGTACTGATGCTTTTGCTTCATGGAGTGTCTGTTCTGGATCAGGTGTCTTACTTCCTTTGGATCCCCACTCCTTATGCTAGTTGCTCAAACTTCCTGATGTGAGCAGGCATTTATATAACGAGTTTTGGGGGGACGGGGTTTGATGTGTCCGTCTGGCTATACTTTTAAAAGGAATTGCCCATCCGTCCTGGCAGCGTTCCTTTTGTGTTATTACATTGCATTCTTGAGCAAGCACCAGCAACTCAGCCACCCTCTCCTCCTTACCCTCTGCTCTGACACACTCTGCTGCTGTCGCTCTTGAGTTTCTAGACTATTCATACTCCATATCGTGGTTACCAACTGTGCTATGTGGTACACTTTTTAGATAAACATTTCATATTGGCCCTGTCTTCCAGATGGCTATTTAATTATTTCCAGGGGCTGGAGGGGGAGCTGCTGAATGTGCTGTTTATGTTTATGGGATTCTCCGTCCTGATCGTGAACTCGACAGAATTATAGCTAGCACCTTATTTATCAGAGGTTATATTTTCAATAACTTCGACTGTCTGAAATTTCTAGGTAATGAAAATGATGCTGCAAAACCAATTTTTCCTCAGATTATGTTATACTTACTTTAGAAACAACTGGTTCTCTGATTTCCCACCTTAACCTGGATTGGAAATAACAGATTAGAAGAGGAAATAGCCTGATAGTGAGGGAGGAAGATGGAAACTATGAAAAATAAGACACAAGAATTATAAAGTGTGGCACTTAGGGGCCATTTAATATGAAGATAAACTTCTCCATCACTGTATTATGACATAGACAGTTTTTATGTTTGTGGTTATACCTCCTAAGTCATCAAGAGACAGAGCACTAGATTTAATTTATTCCTGTTTAAGAGGATAGGAAATAGCTTAATCCATTTTCAGAAGACATTTATCCAAAGGAAGATTGTTTTTACCCAGAGGAAAAGTTTTGATTCTTAGAAGAATGGAGTGAGGTTCTTTTACTGGACAATTGATTTATGTGCTGTAGTCCGTGTGTCGTGACGTTGAACCAATGAGGTGTAGCTATAATGTCTTTGCAAGTATGTATACATTGCTTTTTAAGTTCTTTTTTAATGATAAATTGAATATTTGAGTTACTACTCTGCATATAAAACTGCATTTTTCCTTTTAAAAGGAAAAGGACTTCTGTCATGAGATGAAGTCTATATATAATTCTTTTAAAGCATTTAAGACTAGACTTCCTCTACCCTGAAGCTTAAGCTCTGGCTTGTGGGACATCTTGCCCTGTGTACCAGCTGTGACACGTTACAAGTAGGTCATGTTATTGCTGTATTTTGAGCCTTGACTGTGGCTCAGGTGTGTTGTTAATCACTTATAGGAGTTTGGAGAAAAAAGTGGCGCAACCCAGACAGTTCTCATGGTAGGACCAAGAAATGGTGTCTTCTTTGAGAATCCTCAGCAGTCTTGTCTTTCATCCCGTCTTTACCCTCTCTGTCCTCCAAGCCCCTCTTAGACCTGTATGCATCCATTCCTGGTGTGACAGAGTCTGTTCTCCTTGGGAAAGGGGCTGGGCGGTAGGCAAGAGCTAGGTAAGGGCTGCACCTAGATTTCCAACTGTCCTTTTCTTTTTTAAACTAAAAGCTTTAATTTTTTTTTAATTTCAGAAATAATACACAAATATATGTGGTATAAATGATTTTCCAATGATGGCAATATAGGAAGCACAAACTGAAAACCTTCCTTCCCACCTTACTTTTTAATACCACTCTTCTCTTCATAGATAATAACTGACATATTAGAGGTGTATCTTTCTAGACCTTTTTCTCTGTATTTACCTGCTTTTTTCATTAAACAAATATATTAAATGTCTTTACATGTGAGGCCGTGTAGTTCTGTCCTTTCTTTATGGCTATGTGGTGTTTCAGGGTGGATTATTCATTTCTGTACACATTTGTTGAGTGCTTGTTCTTTCAAGCACTGTGCTAAGCCCTGAGGATGTAGTGGTGTGAGGTAGGCCGTCTCTGCCCTTACATAGCATGCACTTTACTGAGTAAGACAGATATATCGCTAAATTTATCACAGATTTAATTGCAACTACAGCAAGTAGTATGAAGGAAAAGCTTGTGCTGTGAGCTTATATAGAGGGGAATCTTCAGGGTATGGGTGTATCATGATAATGATTTAAGTAGTAGTGTCTTACTGACAGACATCTTTTTTATTACTGTGCAGCAGTAATTATTCTTGCTGTGATCTTGTATATTGTGTGACTGACTCCATTTGATAAATTTGTACTAGTGCAGTCTATGCATTTCAGATTTTGATAATATTACCACATTGTTCTCTAAGAAGGTTGTATCGATTTTCACTGGGAAATAGTCTTAAATTGTTTTTAAACAGGATTCTTTGTATAGAGGTCATTCTCTCTGTCCTTAACCTCGTAGGAAGGAGGAGGAAGAGCGAAGGCGGCGTGAAGAGGAAGAAAGAGAACGTCTGCAAAAGGAGGAGGAGAAGCGTAGAAGAGAAGAAGAAGAAAGGCTCAGACGGGAGGAGGAGGAGAGGAGGCGAATAGAAGAAGAGAGGCTTCGGTTGGAGCAGCAGAAGTAAGCTTGTTGTATGGCTTGTGTTTGAGAGTGAGGAATGGACTGCCACGCTGTTGTTACTCGGCATTTACCATCGTGTGGCTTGGAGTCCTTCCATGATTTGTGGGACTGGGAGGTGGACCAACAGTAGCTCCTTGTCATTCGCACCAATGATGTGTTACCAACGAGGGCCTCATCTTTTCTTGTGTGTGTGTGAGGAGAGCAGCCCTAAGCTAACATCTGCCAATCCTCCTCTTTTTGCTGAGGAAGACTGGCCCTGAGCTAACAGCCATGCCCATCTTCCTCCACTTGATCTGGGACGCGGCCTCATGGCCTGACAAGCAGTGCGTCGGTGCGTGCCCGGGATCTGAACCCCAGGCCGCCTCAGCGGAGCGCGTGCACTTAACTGCTATGCCACCGGGCCGACCCCAAAGAGGGCCTCATCTTAAGCATCATTTGGTTGCAAAGAGGGGAATTTATTGGAAGGATTTGGGATTCACTCCCAGAATTCAGGACTAGAACAGGAGCTGAGGTTTCTTGCTTGCTCTCTGTCTCTGGGTTCGCATGATTTCTTGTCTTTGCTTCTCTCAGCTTGTGTCTCTGGTTCATTCTTCCTGTTCTCTGCAAATTGTCACTCTCTGCTTTGGCATGTGCAAGGCTATCCTAGCTTAGATTTATGTGGTCTTTGTTTTCATGCATCTGAGAGATGGATGGAATCTGAGAGACCCAGTTACACATTTCCAGGACAGAGAATCTAGTTGGTCCAGCCTATGTCAGATGTCTATTCCTAGTCCCCTAGTACCGGACTTGGGAGCTGAAACCATTTCTTATTCAGTAAGGGCTGTGAGAGCACCTGTCTCAGAAGGAACTGGTTCTTCAAGAAGGAGCTATACGTACAAGGAGGAAAGGATTAACACCCATAAAACACTGTGGGAAGAAGGCCTGGGGTCCAAGGGGTAGCATGGCATGTAGATTAAACCAGAGTCCATTGATTTCTCCTCATTATTTCTGAGTAGTTCCTCAGAAGCTTCAAACCAACCCAGAGCCTCATTCTTCCCTAGAGGACTATGAATACTACTCTGTTAGGGGTTGGGGGCATGCCCTAGGTGGACCCAGTGTCATGTTCTTTAAGGAGTTTGTGAGATTTTGCTTTGTTATTTATCTATTAATAGATGGCTTTGAGGTCTTTAAGTTGGTCACATAACTGAGTTAAGAAGCATGTGATTTCTCTATGAAAAAAAATAAAAGAGAATTATAATAGTTTACAGAAATTAGTATCTCTAGACCAAGTGTTCCCAGATGTTATTTTCAGTGTTTCTCTTTAAGGCAGGCTTTAAATGAAATGCTGAGGACCCTCGAGTTTTCACTGGCTTTGTTTATACTTACCAGGGCCACCTGTAACATCTTTTAGCTATTTTTCTGCCTCTTACTGCTTTTCTTGTATTTAGGTAGAGAAGCCATGGCCAACAGTTAAATACCTCATCTTGCCATCGATGGCAATCCATCCTCTTACAGCATCATGGTTAAAGAGTACAGGCTGGAGCCAGACAGCCTAGACTTGAATCCTGGCTCTGGCATCTACTAGCAGTGTAGTTACGGGCAAGTTACCCAGTGCCCGCGTTTTCTGCTCTGTGAAACCCTGCCTCAGAAGGTGTGTCAGAGGCGAGTGGGTTAGTACGTGGAGGTGCCTTGAACACTGCATGCCTCATAGTAAGGGCACAAGAAATGTTGGCAGTGACGATAGTGGTGGTAATGATGATGATGATATGCTTATTCTCCCTCTCCATCCCAGATCTTCCTTGAAAAACCCAAGTAAAAAATTAGAGGCCAAGTTTATTTTCTTAAATCTTTCTTCTGGGCCTGGGACACATGCTGATTGGTATATATTAGTAGCTTAGTCATTTTTAAGAGTTATAAATTACAAAAATAAATGACAGAGACATTTTATTTTGTAATGAACAATCTCCTGTAGTCAGACTAGTATATATTTTTTAATGTTTTTAGGCAGCAGATAATGGCAGCTTTAAACTCCCAGACTGCCGTGCAGTTCCAGCAGTACGCAGCCCAGCAGTACCCGGGGAACTACGAGCAGCAGCAGATCCTCATCCGCCAGCTGCAGGAGCAGCACTACCAGCAGTATATGCAGCAGTTGTATCAAGTCCAGCTTGCCCAGCAACAGGTATGATAGACAGCCCCAGGATTCAGCCGCAGAGAGGGTGTTCAGTTTCACTGGAACTCAAGTTCTTTTTTAACAGTTGCTAATGAATTTTGCATTAGTTCACCTCTGAGGTATAAAGTAACTTTTAGGTGACCTTTGTTGGGGGAGAGTTTAGAATTGCACTGGCAGTTATGAAAGACAACTTATGATATTGAAGCAACAAATGATATGTCCACTATTATATTGTCATAAGGGTATTTGGGAGTTGTATGGACCGAGTGTCATTCCAGTGAGTCTGACATAGACTCTAACAGTGGTCCTGGAACCGTGAGGACTTGGGGTAACTAGCCTTAGTTCAAGGATGTCCTTCAGGCAGTGTGCTGTCCCCTAAGGCTCTTGGCTGGTTCTGCGGAGCTAGGTGGGTCCATCTTGACTTTTGTGTGAGGTACAGTAGCTAGACAGTGCTCACCCACAACACATTGGTAGTCCTCCTCTAACTCCCTACCCCCAAATATTTTGCTTCCAACAGGAGTAGGTGGTTTAGGGGAAAGAACATGGGATTTGAGGCAGGGGGGCGGGGGAGGGTGGGGTGGCAGATAACCCTTGGATTCTGTCCATGCGTTGCCATTGTCTTGTTTGAGCTCAGACAAGTTACCTGCTGCTCTGATTGTTCTGCCTTTTCTCCCAGTCAGTAAGAATGGGGTATAAAATCCTGGTACTTGTCCTGTTAACCTCCAGGACTGTCAGAGGAATACAATGAGAAAATGGTTACTCTGTGAAGTGTTTTGTACATACGGAAGATAACCAATTTTACATTCATTTTTTACGTCTTGCAGAGGTATAAAATGCCTCCTTGAACTTAACCTGGCTAAGTTTTACTTATTTAATTTTCACTTATAAAGCAGCTGCCACCTGTCAAAAAATCTGCGTGAAGAAAAGTGTTACCTTAGTGTTGCTCAGCGTTTCTTGTTGGATGAAGTAATCTTTGTTGTTTTGCCAAGCTCTTTAAATTCCTTGAAAATGAATATTCTTACCTAAAATACCCTTTCCCCTGAGTCTTGACCATTAGTGAGCAGTTAAAAAGCAGTTTTGTGTAATCCATGAGAAGAGGAAGAGGGTGTCAAACCAGAGTCCATTCAAGATAGTACATGGTATTTTTGAGGAGTTTCTTCTCTGTCCTCTAAAGCCTGTGTCTACTTTAGCATATCACTCCTGTTTTCCTGCTTCTGTGGTTGGCACGGAGATAATTTTTCAATAGGATAGCTTATACTGTCCTGTTTCTAGGTTGCTCTCACCTAATCAGAACACAGTCAGGCAAGTAGGGCAAAACCAAGAATGTTTGAAACAAAACTAGAAAGCCGAAATTTAGATTACAGCGATCAAACTTGGTTTATCAAATTGATTGGTTGTCTCTGGGAAGAGAGAAGGAAAGAGACTGAGGAAGGAACAAAAGGAACTTCAGCCCCAGAAAGTATTAATTTTTATATGAATACTGAGCAAAATGACAAAATGCGAACTTGTTAATGTGGGAGTGTAGTTACCTGGGTGTTTGTGACATTTGTTCCTCTACCTTTCTGTGCTTTTAAAAACTTAAAAGTTAGAAGAGGATTATGTAAATAAATAATTACAATCTATTATATATAATTGCTATATATTCTTGGGCAGTGGGATCCCGGGGAAGGGAGTTGTCCATTCTGCTAGAGAGTTTCCGGAAAGGCTTACTGGAGAGGTGGGGGCGTTTGAGCCGGACCTGTTGATCATCAACAGAAATGCTTTTTTTGCTTTCCTGTCATGCAGTGAATGTTCTGAGTGCACTGGCTTGTTTTGGTTGTATGCACTTTTTCTGGAAGCTGGTACTCTTTGTAGAAAACAAATGTGGAACTCACTGAGTATCTAGGCCTTGGAAGAAGGTATTTTAAAATCTTAAGTGCGTTACTAGCCTGAGCTAAGAGCAGAGAGAGGTGTTGCCATTCATTTAAGTAATTGGTTTATAAATGTTATGTCAAATGAAATGTGTATACAGATATGCCAAAATATGTCATTATCCCTAAACCATGAGATTATAATGGCTTTTTTTCCTAAATTTTCTTTCTTTCCTTTTTTTGTTTTACTGTTGTCAACATATGCTCACTTATAACTTAGTATTTTAGTTTAAAAAGTTACTTAGGGGCCAGCTCTGTGGCTTACTGGTTAAGTTCGGTGTGCTCCACTTCGGCAGCCCAGGTTTGTGGGTTCAGATCCTGGGCACAGACCTACACCACTTGTCAGCCATGCTGTGGTGGTGACCCACATACAAAGAGGAGGAAGACTGGCACAGGTGTTAGCCCAGGGCTAATCTTCCTCAAGCAAAAAAAGAGGAAGATTGGCGGCAGATGTTAGCTCAGAGCAAATCTTCCTCAGAAAAAATAATAATGATAATAAAGTAAAATAAATAAATTTTTTAAAAAAGTTACTTAAATGCACAAATGCTCATCAACAGTAGAATGGATAAGTAAATTTTGTATTTTCACAATGGAATGTCCTATAGCAATGCAAACAAACAAAATACAATTACTTGTGACCCTACAGGTGAACCTCACAAAAGTAATGTTGAGTGAAAGAAGCTAGACACAAAAAAGATCATGTGTTATACAATTCCATTTATATAAAGTTCAAAAATAGGAAAGCAAATGGATAGTGTTATAAGTCAGAATAGTTGCTCCCCTTAGGGGAGTGTCACCAGGGAGGGTTCTGGGATGCAGATAGTCTAGATCTGGGTGTGGGTTACATGGGTATGTTTGATTTATGAAAAATGATCAAGCTGTACATTTATGATTTATATACTTTTCTATATGTAATAATTCAATTTAAACTTCCCTCAAAAGTTACTTAAGTAATACTTAGGTATTTCCAGTAGTAATATCTATCCATCTTCATATAAGAGAAGAATGTCTGAAAATACTTGTCCTTTGCATTTAAGATGTTTTTACTCTTCAGTTTTGACGCAGAAGACATTTTAATTTCATATTTATGGATATATGTATTTTAATCATAATTACGTGAATAGGGATGAATTTTCACTGAGAAAGTACTTTGACTTCAAACTCTATTTTATAAGCCTATTTAATTCTTACATTAGTATTTTTTACAACATGATTAACAGTTTTCAATTTAATTGTGATAAGAATTTTTTGTATATAGTTTACGGTGAAGATTTAATTTATTACTTTTGTCCATATTAGAATAATTGTCCATATTTGATTTGTTGGTTACTTTGGGGGCCCATATCAGATTTTACCAATTACAGCTTCTGCCTTTGTGAATTTTCTTCTGTGACCATTTATTTCTACCAAGTTTAACTTTCCTGATTCAAACTTTATGTATCTGAATTTTATCAAGAAGATTTTCTTCTATTAATTTTAAGAACAAATGTTACAATGTTGAGTTTTTGCCCTTAATAATTTTATTTTGAGTTGATTGTTTCTACTTACTTTAATTTTTCCTAGTTAGTTTTTCTGGTGATCCTCAGGTCACAAAAATGTGATCCTCAGTTATAGTTTTTTTGTCCATGTTGATTTTTTATCATTCTCAGCCGTCAGTTTGGTATTGTACTACTAGTATTCATCATAGATGGGCTGAAAGCTGATAAAGTGTACTAGTAATTTCTTGGAGGAGAGTGCTTTGGTAGGGCGAAAACCGCGGGTCAGAATGCATTCCAGGGCAAATGTCGTGTTTGCTGGCCTTCCCGGTCAGTGTCTCTTCACTCCTTCTCGACTTACAGGCAGCGTTACAGAAACAACAGGAAGTAGCAGTAGCCGGGGCTCCTTTGCCTCCCTCATCAAAAGTGAATGCAGCCGTACCAAGTGATGTGCTGTCAGTTAATGGACAGGCCAGAACCCACCCTGACCACGCTGAGAAAGAGCTTGAAGCAGAAGCTGCAGAAGAAGCCCTGGAGAATGGACCAAAAGGTATGGTTTGGCGTGTGTTCATCCGACCAGATGTCACAGTTCAGACTTTCTGAAAAGCAGAAGTCAGGAAGTCAGGTTCGCTAGATTTTGAGAGCAGTTACATATTTGTGAGAGTTTAATGCTTTTTCACTCTTTTCTGTTTGAATCTGATGCTTCTGGTGACCCTTCCAATAGTACAGAAGAGCAAATCAGATATCCTTTGGACACTTTGGGTTGTCTTATTATATATTGGTTATCTGTTGCTGCGTGACAGATTACACCCAAATTTAGCAGCTTAGAAAGAAACATTTATCATCTCACACAGTTTCTGTGGGTCAGGAGTTCAGGAGCAGCTTAGCTGAGTGGTGGTGGTTCTGGTCTCTCATGAGGTTGCAGCCAAGATGTTGGCTGGGACTGTAGTCATGTGAAGGCTTGACTGGAACTAGAGGCTGTGCTTCCAAAATAGTTCCCTCACATGGCTGCCAAGTTGGTGCTGGCTGTTGGCAGGAGGCCTCAGTTCCTTGCCCCGTGAAGCTTCTCCTTAGAGCTCCTGGAGTGTCCTCAGCACAGTGGCTGGCTTCCTCCAGAGCAAAGATCCTAAAGAGAACAAGGCAGAAGTGGCAGTGTCTTTTGTGCCCTAACTTGGGAAGTAACATGTCAGCACTTCTGCCGTATTCTATTGGTCGCACATACCAACCCTGATACATTTGGGTGGTGACCTCACAAGTGCATGAATACCCAAAGGGTGAGGATCACTGGGGGCCATCTTGGAGACTGGCTACCATATATTACAATGTATTTTTTGAGACTAAAGTACCATTTTACCCAGAAGATAACTTGGCGTTTTCAAAGGTCTGCTGTCTTTTCATGGGCAGCATTGGTTGAAGATTTTCTGAGTGCTAGGGGTACGGTGGTGAGACAACAACACACATAAAATGTAATTGTAGCTGTGGTGAGTACTGTGATGGAGAGAGAGGTATATTATAGTTGGAGAGCGTGTAATATGGGGGATGTGCCTAGTCAGAGAAGTCACCAGAGGCTTTCCTGGGGAAGGGCCAGTTGAGCTGAGAGATTGAAGCAACAGTAGAAGTTAAGTGAGAAGGAAAAGAAGAGCATTTCAGGGACAGTGACCAGGGGCAGTGGTGTGCTTCATAGGAAAGCTGGTTTCAGAGATCTTCCTTGTCTTTTTAGAACACGTAACAGAAAATAGCTGCAGAGAAGACTTTGAAATCCCATGGTTTACACCCCACCCCCCTTTTTTTTCCCTTTTAAGAGTGTACCAGTATTTTCTAATACTGGTACACCAGCCTTTTGTCAAAGGCTCTGTGACTGACTCTGGAAAACCCATTGAGTAGTCAGTCCAGTGCACATAGATAGTGCTCAGTAACGAGACTTGACCCCTTTTGACTCAGTCCCTAGCAGCTCCAGTCCTGTCCCAGTGTTTCTGTTTCTTTGAGCTCCTTTAGAATAGTGCCTGGAACTGGGGGATACTCAGAGGTCAAGACTGTTTTCAACCGAGAGATTGAAGTCAAAGCCCAGCTTTCTTTGTCCACATAGAAAAGTAAATTTATTCCCAAGTACACATCTCTCTTTGTTAGAATGTTCCCCTAGCTCCAGCTAGGAAGTTTCCAAGGTCGTTCTTAAATCCCCATATGTAATTAGGGTGTTGAAAAAAATCACTTCTAAGATTATGGATTGCTTTGTCCCTTGAAGTGGTATGATGACCTCTGAATACCTGTGACATTGTTGAATGGGGTGATCTGGGGGGAGACTTCCCTGGGGAGGCTCTTATATTCCTGAGTCCTTGATCTGAGATAGACCATATTGCACTTGGTGCCTGAGTGTGGCTGGGCAGGTGGTCCTGTACTAAGGTTGCTGCCTGCAGGTGAAGGCTCACCCTCTTTAGCTTTTGTAATTCCTGTTGCCTTTAGAATCTCTTCCAGTAATAGCAGCTCCATCCATGTGGACACGACCCCAGATCAAAGACTTTAAAGAGAAGATTCGGCAGGATGCGGATTCCGTGATTACAGTGGGCCGAGGAGAAGTGGTCACTGTTCGAGTACCCACCCATGAAGAAGGATCATATCTCTTTTGGGAATTTGCTACAGACAATTATGACATTGGGTTTGGGGTATATTTTGAATGGACAGACTCTCCAAACACTGCTGTCAGTGTGCATGTCAGTGAGTCCAGCGATGACGACGAGGAGGAGGAAGGTAGAACCGTTGGTCCGTATTCAGTAGCTGCTGGGTTGTGTGTTGGCAGAAGTGGCAGTGGTTCAGATGGCAGTCAGCCTCATGCTTCCTGATTAACCCTTCGTGCACGGGGATGAGTTTCTTCATTAGTATTGGGGCCTTGGGTTGAAAAGGCTGTGAGAGAAGCCAGCCTCCTGTAGGGGACTGGGGCCAGAAATGAATTTTTTTTTAATGCTGGGAAAGTCTGTTTGGCAGTTTATTTTACTGCTTTCTGAATATTATTTTACTCCCAGCCTTGTGTGTTGAAAAGGTAAATGTGGGAGATCATTTTGAAAATTTTTGAAGGAGCAAGCAAGAAATTTGCCAGCTCTGGAATTTGTTTAATTTATATTTCTGATAGTAGCTTTTTAGTTGTTATTTTAAGATTTGTTTATGTAAGTACAGAAACTCACCAGAATATCTTACCTCAAAAAAATTTCAGTAATTCTTCCCTATTTTACTAGAGCATAATTTTTTGTTTTCTCTAAGTAGACAAGATTGGGTGTTTTCCAAGAACAGTCTGAACTATTGGTCTGGGAAGTAAGTTATAAAATGTATTGCTTATTAATGGAGGAGGTGCTCACCTTAATTTTGTTATCCAGAAAAGTTATAACTCAGGACTTTTATACACAGTAAGCACTTAAATATTTGTTGGCTTGATTGAGAGTGATATGGAAGGAGTCGTGAGTGTGAGGATGGAAAAGCACCTCTTCGGTCTTGGAACTGACTAGCCTTTCAGGTGACGTGTAAATAGACTGCTTCTTCCTGAAGAGGGCTGGTAATGTTGTTCCACAGAGCTGACACTGGAATAAGTTTCAAGAGGTGGTGTTGGAGGTGCATGGAGGGAGCCTAAAAGTTCAGTGAGCTTTTGAGGTACACAGTTGAGTCGTATTCCCACACCGTGCATGCCACACTACGGGCCCTCCAGCATCACATGTGGACACACACATACATGTGTCGTTTAGGGCTGCTTTGTCTTACATGGCGTTTTGTTTTCAGCAGTCTTTGTTTCTGAGTACCACTAGCAAGGTGAGGCATTGCCCATGAATATTACTGACTGAAGCAGAAGGAAAAAATACAAGAGTGAAAAAACCCAGCAGGAGGTGCGGAGAGACCTGAGCAGATTGCAGAGCAGCTGCCCCTACCATTGTCTCAGGTGCCCCGCAGCAACATCAGGACCAGGGACTGAGCCCTGTACTGGCCCTCCTGATGCATCACAGGGACTCGTTAAAATCAGACTGTTTGCAAATGTCTGGGAAGGAGAGTTTGTGTATGTGTGCAAATTATTGTCCTTATAAAGAGCTTTGTGAATAATATAGAAGTAGGTTGAGGTAATGAATTTCTCCTGGCTTGCCTGCTACAGAGCTTCTAAAAGGAGGTTACTTCCCAGTCTGAGCCCTCAGCTGATCATCATTTTGGGGTTATTGATGTTGGGAAGAGCGCTGGTAAACATGGCTGGGGTCCAGTGCCTGTCTGGAGGTGAGGACCTGGGCTTCCATGACCTCTGCTCTAATAGGTGATAGCCCTCAAATGGAAAGTGGCATCACCTGTTCTTGTGCCATTCCTAATCATAAAATGATTTGCAACTAAAACGAATCCATTAAAACCTCCATGTTGACAGTAACAACAGTGAGGATTTTTTGCTCCCAGGAATTGTTTGCTAAGAGTGAGCGTAACTTCTCTAGGTTGAGGCTGTAGCTCACAGACTGTACTTGTCCGTCTGCCGTATGCCTCCTTAGGAAGGCTGCTGTGCCCCCTCTGGTCCACATTCTGCAGTTTATGGAGAGGGGGATTCTTCTAGCTCGGTTTAATGTCGAAGAGGAGTCCAATTTTTTTGTTTGTTGCTTTGGTTTATCTCAGGTCTTGAGAGAGAAGGGAGTTTGAAGAAGTGTGAATGGTAACCCGTCCCACTGCTGTCATTCTCTGCTTTCTTTGTTGTTTCCAGGTTCCAAGTCTTTGCTTAAAGTGTTGAAAGATGCATTGTTCTTTTAGTTTTAAAGATTTTGAACAAGGTTTGGATCTTGAATTAGTGGACCATTAATCTGTTTCATGGCTATCCTTATAGACAATAGTATAAATTTTAAATGGCTCTATATTTCTCATTTATAAATGAAAGACATTTAATTTTAAGTATTGCTATGATAAAGCAAATCTGATTTGGGCCTGTTTATAAGAGTGTCATCTGCTTTTTTGAAAATAAACTTTTTGTTTTAGATTTACAGAAAAATTTCAAAGCTAGTACAAAGAGTTCCCATATACCCTGCACCCAGTTTCCCCTATTGTTAACATCTTACATTGTACTGTGGTACATTCATGATAACTAATGAACCAATATTGATACATTATTATTAATTAAAGTTCATATTTATTCACATTTCCTTAGTTTTTACTGATGTTAGTGGATCCCATCTAAGATGCCACATTATAGTTGTTAGCATATCTCCTTAAGCTCCTCTAGGCTGAGAGAGTTGCTCAGACTTTCCTTGTTTACATTCCTTGTAGTGGCCATTGACAGTCACCACTTTTAACTCTTGTGGCCAAAATTCACTCTGCCGTGTTGTAAACCTGCAAGTCTTGTTATCTTCTCTGCTGAAGATTCTCTTGACCTGTTCCTTGGGGCTGTTTATATTTAATATGTTAAACTGAGACTTTTAAGCTGGTTTGTGGGGCCGGCCCGGTGGCCTGGGCATGCACCGATGCACTGCTTGGCAAACATGCTTGGCAAACATGCTTGGCAAGCCATGCTGTGGTGGCGTCCCATATAAAGTGGAGGAAGATGGGCATGGATGTTAGCTCAGGGCCAGTCTTCCTCAGCAAAAAGAGGAGGATTGGCAGATGTTAGCTCAGGGCCGATCTTCCTCACAAAAAAAAATAAAAATAAGCTGGTTTGTAATTTTCTCTTTCCTGTAGGTTTCTAGAGGTATTTTTTTCCTAACCTCATATCATTACAGTTCAGAAAACTATTAACTGGGACAAACCTAGAATCAGAAGTGGGATCATCCCTGGGCAACAAAGGCCTAGTGAAACTAATTGAATTTTCAGACTGTCTCTAAATGCCTACCTCTCTACTGTGATTTTTCTCATTTTACTCGTTATATTTAAGATATAAAGAAAATAATAGTCCTCATAAGTTCTCTTCCCCTTTTCTCCCTTCCTAAAACAGAGAGGACTTTCGTATTGTTGAGAAGGAGGAGGATCAAGCAACATTTTCCTTGGTCCTACACAGATGAGCGAGATTCCTCCTATTGGGAGGAATTAGGAATTGAATGGATGTGAAAGGGAAAAAGTGCGGCTTAGAGATAGCAGCAATGGTCAGAGTACAGAGAGAGATAGGATGCTGACTGCTACCACCACCAGATGTTTACCCTGGGCTCCCAGGGCCCAGACAGTGCTTGGTACATAGCAGCTGCTTAGATATATGAATGAACAAAGGAATGAATCAGTATATGCTTGCGTGCACATAAGTTGAATGGATCAAGAGAATTCCTACTGAGCAATTTCTGAAGGAAGGATGGAATTTAAATGCTTGATGCAAATGTGGTTTTCCCTTATCTGTTCACTGACTTGTCTCTATTCTGTCTCATAGAAAACATCAGTAGTGAAGAGAAAGCCAAAAAGAATGCCAGCAAGCCTCTGCTGGATGAGATTGTGCCTGTGTACCGACGGGACTGTCATGAAGAAGTGTATGCCGGCAGCCACCAGTATCCAGGGAGAGGGGTCTATCTCCTCAAGTTTGACAACTCTTACTCTCTGTGGAGGTCCAAGTCAGTCTACTACAGAGTCTATTATACTAGATAAAGATGTTGTTACAGAGTCTGGAGTCTGGGGGTGGGCAGACGATGGCGTTTAATTTGGAAATTTCCTTTGACTTTGTGGAGCACTGCAGTCAGTGTTCACCCTCTTGATCTTGATCTGATGGTTTGTGAACTCTTGTTGGGCATCAGGATTTCCTTGAGACTCTTTGGAGTTAATACTTTGGGGTTAAAGGGATTCCTCAGACTCATCCAGCCCGTGGGTGCCGACCAGCAGAGTCACTAGTGGATGCTGAAGTTACACGAGCTATGTGTTAAATCTTTCAAGTCTCCGAAATAAAACCTCCAACGTCGACCCCGCCTGGCTGATGGTTAGTCCATTGCTGCCTGCTCCCTGTGTCTTAGGAGAGCCTGTAGTTCAGTGCCCTCTGATTTGAAATCCTTTTGTTAATAGTCCACATGAGGTGCAGCTGACTTTGATTGAAGGTCACCATTTTTAAAATTTAAGACCTCACAGATTATAATAGAAAAAGAAGTTGCCTCAATTTGATCTCGTTCTGAATGACCCAGATTGTTTTTGCTTTGGGTGTGGCTGTTTAGTTCAGAGTTATATTACAGAGAATTATTTTCTGAGATAATCTTAAGATAGAATGTTCAAACCTGAGTGATAATTTGAAGTATCCAGATACACAGAGCCTCAGGCGTCCGTGTAAGCGAGCCTTCACAAGCTCTTGGTCCTCTTCTCTCCATCTGATAATGCATACTACTGTAGCAACACAAAACTCATTCATTTTTGTCTTGATTTGGCTTTATAGGGCATCTCAAAATTGAAACTGTTTTCTACACAAGCATATAGTTAAGGGTTTTGTAAACTCGAATTGGCACCTGCTGAATTAAAATATACGAAATCATTTAAATATAATTCAGTGTATGGGGAATAACATTGTACTGATATGGAAATCACTGCCCGAGAGAGTCCATTTTTTTTTTTAATTGCTTACTACTTAGACACAAACCCTGTATGATTCCAGTTTGGAATTACTTACTAGAGAGAATTGGAAGTGCATAGGCCCATGCTTAAATTTTTTTAAAGCTTCAATCTGTATTATGTCTTTATTGATGAAAAGAGGTACATCTTTGTTTTCCTGAAAACAAATATGGATTAATCACCCCAAATTTGTGTAAGTGATTAACTAGTATAGAGATTCTTGTTTTCAGAAGGGAGGGTGGTATAGATAGAAAATGACAAAGATGGCAATATACACGTTATGTTATTATATGTTGTTACTGAAATACTTAGATGTTTAAAACTTCAAATCATAAATCACTGCTTGTAGGAAGGTTTCCGTTGATTGGCTGCAGTATATCCAGTTCACTACATAAGGGGCTGTTTGTTTTTTGTGTGCTGCATTTCCTTGTTTTTTAATACCTGGTTTTGTACATATTTAACTCTGTTCTCTTTTGGTTGTTCAGAAACTGGATTATTTTCTCCTAAGCAGCGCTCAATTTGTGTTTTTTAATTTTGATTCAGTAGTCCCAGCTCATAGGTGTCCATACTGTACATCCAGAACATTTGTCAGGCTGTCCATGAGCTCTCATGTATATATGGTATAGAAACCACGGGGTTAGGCACTTCTGGCTTTTTTTTTAATGAGAAAATATTGTATTTAAAATGTAAAATAAACTTTAAAAAGCAGGCACTAATATATATTTCTTCCAGCCTTTGATTACAGATTTGTCCTTGCACATGTTAGGAAGAATTATCTTCTGAAAATATCGTTGTTCCTGGGAGCAGTGTGTGTCACTTCACATAGCAGCAGTTCCTGTCTCGTGTCCATGTCAGAACGTTTTTGGTTTTAAACTTTTTTATTGCCTTTGGCTGTTGATTAGTACAGTACAAGTGCAATTTCAAAAAGATCTTGAAAATAATATATTTAATCAATTAAAATGTTTATCTGTAACTTGTTGACGTTTCATTAATATAGTTACTCTTTGAAGCATTAGTTCTCTTATTTCATCATTTGGGTAGGACAAGAAGAAATGTTTTACACGATCTTTTCTGTTTAAAAAGTTAAAAAAAGAACAACAATTTCTGGCTGATTATTTAGTTCTGCTGTGAAAAACCCTAGTGAGTTAAAATAGATTTAAAATTTTTAGACTTGGTGGTGGAAAGGGAAGCGCTGACTGTTCTTACTGCAAGTGACTTATTATAAAATTATTTCCCCGACACAGCCACGTGCGTAGCATGTTCTCTGAAGCATATGGAGACGGCCTACTTTAAAATAGCTCCTGGGGTGTGGCATCTGCAAAGCAGCGGCGAGGGGAGTGCCAGAAACTGTTCTAAAAATGACCCCACTGAAGTGCAGGGTGACTTGGACATTAAAATTTCTTTCTTTTGAAATTTGGAGAGAGAGAATGAGGTGATCATCTTGGTTTTCTGTTGTGTTGGGGTATCATGAAGCCAGACCAGAGGACAGTTGAGGAGAGCTGTTATGTGAGCACGCGATGGAAACCGTGCTGCTGAGTCTTGCCCAGCTGTCTGATGGAGGAGGAGAAGCAGCGGCTTCAGAATGGTGAATGACTGCTGATAGCCCACTGGGGCTTAGAGTGCAACAGTCTACACCCAAAGCCGTCTTCGCGTCTGTCCCCAGCTTTTTCTCAGTTCAACACTTCTGTCAGCACCCTAAAAATATACGCATGTGTGTGTGCTAGGGGTAGAGCAAATCTTAATTTCCATTTACTAACTTTTCAAAATGTATACGAATCAGTATTGGACTTTCATCTCTCATATATTCACCTAGGATTTTTCAGCTTCTTCTTGAAAGTTTTTTAAGACCGAGTTGATAATTGTTCTTGTCAACACCCATATTTTGAATTTATTACATTGTCATTATTTCAAGTGCTTATTATTTTGCTTAATTTGTTTTGTAATGCAGGACGGAAGCACTAGCTCCATTTTTATTAGTTGACATGCCAGCTGTACGTTGTGATTTGATTAGGGTACTTAATTCAGTACCAGGAAACTAAGTGGCTGACTTTTCCAGAATTGACATTGGCATTTGGACTCAGGCGGTCAAACATGGGGTAAAGGTATAAACTGAGCAGTTAACTTACCTCTTACAGCTGTAACGAACGCTTGTGTATGATTGCTCAGTTAACCTGACAATGCAAGTCTTTCAAGTCTCTATCTGAAAAGAGCAAGTATAAGTTTGATCACAGATGCTGATTTTTTTTAACCTTTCTTTAATGGTATATCTATATAATTATAACAAGTTTTACCCTTTTCCAAGATCATTAATTTAAATATCTCCAGTTGAAGGTGACATAACTTTTTTTTTTGGCATGGTAAAATATAGAAATGTAAACATGGCTTTTTCGTAAAGTCTGCATTTTGCAACTTCTGAAATTCCAGGTTGTTTGGAGAAGTTTTCTTGTTAGTAAGTGTAGGTCTATTGTGTTCTTCTTACCTGCTGTGTCGTCTTCTGTAGAGTGGCTCTTTGGCAATTTTTCTGTTATTGAACATTTTAGGTTACTTCTGATTTTTTATTATAAATGGTTTTCCAGTGAACACCCTTTTATATGTCTTTCTGCAAATCTGCGTGAGTTTTTCAAGAGTAGATACCAAAAAGTATTGCTGGATCATAAGTTCTGTGCATTTTTAATTTTAATAGACCCTGCCAAATTGTCCTCCAGAGTGGCTGAACTAATTTCCCTGGTAGTGTATGAGAATACTGCTTTTTTACCTCTATCAACACTTGATATTATCAGACTTAAAGTTTGGTCAATCTCATGGGTGAAAAATAAAATTTCATTTTAATGTGTGTTTCCCTGGTAATTAGTAAGATTAAGCATCTATTTTTATTCCTCACTTTTATTTCCTCTCCTATAAATTGCCTGTTTATGTCCTTTACCCATTTTTCAACTGGGCAATTCTTTATATTGATTATTAGCATTTAAAAATATAGTTGATATACTAATCATACATTATATGTAAGTGCTTTCTCCTGTTTTGTTGCTAGTCTCTTAGTTTTGTTTATGGTGTTTTGTGTGTGTATGTGTCTGGTCACAGATGTTATAAACTATGTTGTCAGTTTTATTCAATTTTTTTGTTTATGGCTTTTGCTTATATCTATCTATCTATATATATATATATATGAGTCTGTTTCTGAACTCTGTTCTATCTGTTTGACCACTTATGTGCTAATATTACACTTTAAATTACTATAGTTTTAAAATATATTTTGATAGAAGGCAAATCTCCTCTGGTCTTCTGATACTTTTTCTTGGCAATTCAGTACCTTTCTTCCATATGAATTTAATCATTAGCTTGTCAGATTTCTTGAAAAATCTTTTTTTTTTTTTTTTTAAAGATTTTATTTATTTTATTTTTTCCCCCCAAAGCCCCAGTAGATAGTTGTATATCATAGCTGCACATCCTTCTAGTTGCTGTATGTGGGACTCGGCCTCAGGATGGACGGAGAAGTGGTGCCTCGATGCGCACCCGGGATCCGAACCCGGGCCACCAGCATTGCAGCGCGCGCACTTAACCACCAAGCCACAGGGCCGACCCTTGAAAAATCTTAATGGGATTTACATTGGAATATTGCATTGAATTTATAGATTAACTGGTGGAGATTTGGCCACTGATTTTTAATGTGAGCTTAGATTGCCTTTTTAGAAGATTGATAGTTCTTTGTTCTTAGATGGTATCTTCAGTAGAAGAGTTGGAAGGCACAACCCTTAAGTGGTCTTTCCTGCCATTAGTTACGATACTGCCTAATCTGGAACAACAGAGACTCAGAAATAAAGTGGCTCAGATAAACCAGTTTGCTCTCACGTACAGGCCACAGGAGGTGCAGGGCAGCGGGCTCCAGTCCTTCATGAAGTGATTGACAGCCCTGAATTTCTTTAATTTTGTTGCTCCACCACCCTAAGGGATGGTATTTGGTTTTGTCTGCATGGTTAGAAGCAGGCTTGCCAGGATTACATTCCCAGTTCAGCCAGGGTATGGGGAGGGTTGGTCCATGCCCAGTTTTAAAGGGACAACCCTTACTTCTGTTCGTTTTCCATTAGCAAGTACTTAGTTACATGGTCTCCTCTAGATGCAGTGTCTCTAGGTAGGCAGTCACGTGCGTAGCTAAACTTCAGAGAGGGCCAAGTGTCTATTATGAAAGGGAAATGGATTCTAGTGGACCCTTAGCCAACTGCATTTATTAGGTGAGTTTTCAAATACATAACTTTCATTGATTTTTTTTCTCTATTATAAAAGCCTTCTACATTTCATTTATTGTAGAAAAGTTAGAATCCACAGGTAAAAAGAATAAAACTAAAATTATAAACCTATCACTAAGAAAGAATAGTTATCCTTTGGGAACTTTCCTTCTGGTCTTTTTTTCTCATTTTCAATTATGAAACAGTCCTGGCATACACATTATAGAACATAATGTCAGAGCTCACGTACCCACCACGCACATGGGTCACATTTGCCATTTTGCCTTGTTTGCTTCAGATCTTGTCTACGTGATAGAACATTAGGGAAAGTTTGAGCCCTGTGTACCTTTCCCTGATTACCAGTCCTCTTTCTTCCTCCCAGAGATAATCATCCTGATTTTGATGTTTATCGTTCCATATGGTCTTTATAACAATATATGTTGCCAGAAAAAGAAGATAGTATGGTTTTACAGAATGCTTTGAATTTTATATAAAGTAATATCATCTGACGATTTGTTTTTTCTGGTGTAGTGTTTTTAGTGCTTGGCTTCATATAGCTCTACTCTACAGTAGTCTGTCATGTGGATACTGTGTATCACCGGGTAGTCTTCTGCTGTTGGACAGTCAGAGTTTTTCTCAGGTCTCCTCTATTATAAACATTCTTGTACATGTCTCCTTATGCTCAAGTGCAATGTTTCTCTAGTGTATATACCAAGAAATAAAATTGTTAAGTCATAAGCTATCTAGATCTTCACCTATTCTAGATAATACAAAATTGCTCTTCAAATGATTGTGCCACTTGAAACTCCCAAAAGCAGTTTTACCAATTTGCTGGGTGTAAAACAGAATCTCATCTGTGGTTTAATTTGCATTTCCTTGGTAACCAGTGAGGATATGCATCTTGTCACGTTACTTGCCTTCTGCGGATTGCACTTTTATATGCTTTGTCCATTATTCTGTTGGGCTTTTTCTTGATTTGTAAGAGTACTTTAAATATTGGTGCTACAATTTTTTTGATCGTGTGCATCACAAATAATTTGTACCACACTTTGAGTTGTCTTTTTACTTTGTTGATAATGTCTTTTATTGTTTAGAAGTTTTTACTTTTAAAGTTATTGAACTTCCATGGTATGTTTTCCATATGTTCTTTAAGAACTTTTTCTCAGCCCTGGGGATATAAAGATAGTCTTCTGTATTTTAAAATGTGCTTTGCATTTAGGTGTTAAGTACACCTGAGATTTATTTTGGGTGTGAGGTAGAAGTTTGATATTACTTTATTTTTCTATAGAAATAACTAAAATTATTCTGGTACCATTCATAGACTAGTTATCCTTTGTATATTTTTATATATTTACTTATTTATGAGTCTGCTATATAGATAACAAAGTACATATATATATTTACACACATACACACACACGCTCTTGTGTGTATGTATGTATCTGTGGGCTCTCTATTCTGGTAAGTTGTGTTTTTTTGTACCAATATCACACTGTCTTAATTACTTTAGCTGTGTGTGTGTGTGTGTGTGTGTGTGTGTGTGTGTGTGTGTGAGAGAGAGAGAGAGAGAGGGAGAGGGAGAGAGAGAGAGAGGAAGATCAGCCCTGAGCTCACATCCATACCAATCCTCCTCTTTTTGCTGAGGACGACCGGCCGTGAGCTAACATCTATTGCCAATCCTCCTTTTTTTCCCTTTTTCTCCCCAAAGCCCGAGTAGACAGTTGTATGTCATAGTTGCACATCCTGCTAG